AGTCATCAGGGAATTTGTTACTAGTGTTTCTCGATCTAGTTGAGCTCGATACGAATGACAGTGAACTTCCTTTGCTAGACTTAGATATCCAAGTTTCGAGGATGCCTGGAGTAAACTTGTCAGAGTGACAGAATCATAGTCAAGTCCTTCACTTTTCATCTTCTGGAACAGTATGATGGCTTCATCGGGATGCCCATGGCAGATATAACCCATCATCATTGAAGTCCATGAAACCAAGTCCTTGTATTGTATCCTGTCAAAGACTGTCCTTGCATCATAAGACACCACATCTTGCATACATGTAGACAATTTGATTGGTAACTTCTGTATGCATACGAAACTCATGTCTCAGAATGTAGCCATGAACACTTCTTCCTCCTCTTACATTATTCAGCTCCAACAATGCTGAAAGCACATTAAGGATAGAACCTAAGTTTGGTTTGAGACCGATACAGACCATTTCAATAAAAATGTCGATAGAGTCGGTAGCAAATCCGTTTTGGAGATAACCTGACATCATGACATTGTATAAAATCACATCTCTCGTCTCTATTACTTTGAATAATTGCCTAGCTCGGACCAAATCATTGCACATGGAATACATATCAACCAAAGCAGTGGTAGATACTAGATCAAGCTCGTAACCTATCCGAATAATGTGACCATGAATACTCTTTCCTTCTCGCAAATACTTCAAATCAGCACAACACAAATCCCATTGGCTAAGCTAATCAAATCTGGGAAACATTTTCATCTGCCATCTTACAGAAATGTCCCAAAGCTTCCAATGGCTTCCCCATATTGATATACCCAGTTATCATTGCATTCCATGAACCAATTGTTTTCATCTTCATTCTACCAAAAATGCAAGCTGCCATTGTTGGGACCTTGCATTTAATATACATATCCATGAGACTTGTCTCAAATATTTCATCCAAACAGTCAATCCCTCTTCTAATAGCATATCCATGGATCGTCCCGCCATGTTCCAATGCTTCCAACTCGGCGGCTGCCTGAAGTAAACTCACCATTGTCACCCTATTGGGATCGACCCCTTCCTTCTGCATGGAACAAGCAAATTCAAACGCCTTGTAAGCAAGCTGCCCGCCAACTTGTGCATAGCCATTATCATTGAAGTGTAAACACAACGTCTCTTTCAGTTATTTCTTCGAACACTTTGGAAGCACCAACCATATCTCCATACCTCGAATACAATCCTATAAGTGAAGATCCCACAAATTGATTTTTACTCAATCCAAACTTGAAAACATCAAGATGAACTCCTTTTCCAAATCCCAAACTACCCAATTCAACACAACTCTTCAGGGTAAAAGTAATAGCCGAACCATCTAAACCAATCCTTTTTTGCTTCAATTTCAAATAGAGCCTAAGAACTTCACCGTATTTACTACTTCTAAAACATCCAACGAGAATTGAATTCCAAAGGAAAATATTGCTTTTGATAATTCCATCAAATACCCATCTTGAATCAACCGAGAACCCAAACTTTTGATAGCAAGTTAAAAGTTTTGAACTTATAAAAGTATTTTGACAAAGGCCATTGGTGAAAATACAAGCATGAAACATTCTCAGAGAAGCAAAATCGTTACAATTATCCAACAAAGAAGCAATTTTATCGACTTTATGGCCAGTTGAATGATAAAGGAATAAACTTCGGGAATTGATAAATGGAATTAGGCTGTTCTTTTGGAGAAGTGAAGGAATTTTAAGTAGGAAAAGAACCATGATTTTATGTAGAATAACTGAAAATGATGTTTCTTAACCGTCACTCGTGTTTATGCGTGTGTACAACATAGAGTACAAATAATTGGAACGAAACATTTTTTTAAATAAATAAAATGGGTAAATTACAAATTTCATCACTAAACTTTACTTCTCTCCTATTCTGCTCACTAAACTTTAAAAGTTTTCAATTTCTTCATTGAACTTAACACATCAAGTTTTTTTAGTCACTCCGCCGCTAAATAGTTAATAGCATTTAAAATGACATCGTTTTAAAAAACAATTTTCACCCAAATGACGTCATTTTGCATTTATATAACAGGACATTTATAACGCTATTAGTGAGAAAACAACTGAGTGACAAAAAAATCCAATGTATTAGGAAATTGAAAAGATTTAAAGTACAATGAATGAAATAGGTGAGAGAGTAAAGTTTAGTTACCAAATTTGTAATTTACTCAACTAAAATTCATAATATATATAAATTGAAACAAAACAATTGGCTAAATTAGCGAAAAATGGATATAGAAAAAAAAAAGGATTGTGAGGGATGCAGGTAAAATATTTAAGGATTTAAAAGTGTTTAAAAAAATTGTCATTCGAATGAAAAATTATTAGATAGATCGACTTGCCACATTATCTGTGGTGATAATCAATAAGATTCATTTATCTCATTTTTTTAAGGTGAATTTTTATCTCTCTCTTACATATAAATAAGGAGTGGGTAGTTATTTTGAGATGAATAAATTATTTTAAGATGAATAAATTTTATTGGTTGATATCACGAATAACGTGATGAGCCGAATCTACATAATAATTTCTCCGTTAGAATTGTTAATTGTTGGAAACGTTTTAGGGTCATCGTCTCATACCAGCGATTTACATTGAACTTTTTATTTTTTTTAAATAGAAATCATCATTTGTTGTCAATATTTTTAGGGTAAACTGTGTATTTAGTACCTAAACTATCAATTTGAATTTATTTTAGTACCTAAACTTTTAATTTTTTAAAATCATACCTAAAGTTTAGTTTTTGTTTCATTTTAGTATCTCGCCGTTAAGTTTTTGAAAAAAATAAAAGTTTAGGTACCAAAACACGTTTAGTACCTAAATTATACTTAAGTTATGAAAAAAAATGAAAATTTAGGTATTAAAATAGGCCAAAACTGATAGTTAAAGTACTAAACGCGTTATGTTTTTAACGATGTGATATTAAAATGAAACAAAAAGTAAATTTTATGTATGATTTTGAAAAAAAAAAATAAAAGCTTAGGTACTAAAATGGATCAAAACTGATAATTTAGGTGTTAAATTCATAAATTACCCTATTTTTAGTGGAAACTTGCGGGTGTGGACGACTTCCCTTTGCATAATTTTTTACCTTTTTTCTTTTAAAGCTGCATTCGAAACATGTTGGTTCATGAGATGTATGGATGCATGCTGCAGGCACATACATGTATAGGCAGATCACGTACAGGTAGTGGCGAAAGTATAAAATCCTATAAGATACAATTATATATTTTTTATTTTGGAAAAATTATTAAATTAAATGAAAGGAGAAAGAAAAATGTACATATACATTTTGAAAAATATAATATTATAAGTTTTGGACCTTAGTTTTACATTTCTAGATCTGTCGTTACGTACAAAACATAAATAAGATATATTTAAGCTATATAGGCTTATAACAAGACATATTTAGCTTTGTAACCTCAAAGCATATAAATAAAAATATTAATATTTATTTAATAATATATATAATTGATTAATAATCTAACTTATAATCTAAATTAATATTATTTTAAATTTTATTTAAAACTAAATGAAAAATAATTCAAATAAATTAAAATTCTAATGTTGATTAAAGTCTGGACGAAAAATGATTGTTCATATTTTTCATATTCAAGTTTTTTTCCAGATTTTTAAGTCATGTATTTAGACTTGAGCACATTTTTACCTTCTTTAATGCTAATTTTTTATGCAAATAGAGTATTTAATTAATTAAATATTTAAAATTACAATAACTTAGTAAATTGAACACATAATTAAACTAGCCACTCGTGATCATACGAAATCATACAAAGAAAATGTTAAAATCCATAAAAAAAATAGACAAAGATAGATACGAACAATTTTATTGCATCGATAAACAAATCTCAACATGAGATTAAACTATTGAAGACTACCGACAACTGTAAATCAAATCGAGCGTTGTGAAAAACTATCAACAAACACAAACCACGTATCCAAGTTCAATCCGATGGTTCAAAACAGAATATCAAAATGATAATAAATAAGTGATATCTTAATTAGTCGAAGCAATGTAAATTCAACCCTGAAAATTTTAAACGATCGAAACGTATTGTAAAGACAAAAAATGTCATAAAGATATACTTATTAAAAACTAAAAAACAAAAAAAAATAAATACAATCTAAAAGAATAAATGAGAAATAATGAATATACTGTCATCACCTGTTAAACAAAAGAAGAAGAAAAAACGACCATCATTAGGGTTTAAAGAAAATAACAAGCGACTAATCCTCTCATATTATTTAAAAAAAAATGTTAGACTATCTTTAATAAATAAATAAATAAATATTAAGAGAATTTATATAATTTAAACGGTTTTCTATATATGGTAAACCATATATAATACATATATATTTTTTCATATTTTTTCATATATAATATACATATATCATACAAAATCAAGTGATTCGATTCAAACTTAAAAATCAATCTATTAACTATTAAAAATTTTGAATTATTCAAGTTCTATTTAATAACTCTACTTGAATTTAAATTTTCCCGAGCTTAAAATTTTTTAAATCAAATCAAAAATATAAAATTTTTGAATCAAATTGAGTTTTATTCGACTTAGTTATTAATGAGACATTTACCGACGTTACTACCAATACCCAAAAAAAGACGCAGCGAAAATTCTCGTCACTAAAAACTTCTAAACTCTATTTTATCGTCTTTCTTCTTCCACTTCCACTTCCACTTCCACTTCCGGAAGAACAGAAACCCCTAAAATGCAATCAAACCAAACCCCAATCCTCTATACGACATAATCATCTTAGGGGCCTCAGGATTTACTGGCAAATATGTTGTAAAAGAGGCTTTAAAGTTTCTCAACACCCCATCTTCTTCTCTTAAAACTTTGGCACTTGCTGGTTGTAGCCATGAAAAGCTTACTAAAACTCTTCAATGGGCGGCTCATCCTAGTTCCCCTCCTGATGTTACTATTATCATTGCTGATACTACTGACCCAGCTTCGCTTTTGAGTCTTCGTAATCAAACTAAGCTCTTGCTTAACTGTGTTGGGCCTTATAGGATCCATGGTGAGCCTGTTGTTTCTGCTTGCGCCTCTTCTGGGAACCTTTTCTCCCATATTTTTAATGTTTTATAAATAATATTTATTCTTTATTTGGGCTTTTGTATTTGTTGTTAAATGGTGGAAATATGGGTTTCTCTAGGGTGCTTGAGTGATAACCTGCAATACAAGTGTCATAACGTCTCCCTCGGGGATCCGTTAGACTTGAAAAAATTTACTTTCGGGAAAGGCGATGAAATATAAATTTGAAAACAATTTGACTTTTGAGTCGCCACCAACCTTTTAAGTTAGGTAAGTTGTAACCTTAAACGACAAAAAATGGTCTGCTTTTTACCAAAGATTCATTTTTAAGAGTTCGGGAGTCGATTACGTGTGGGGAAGGGTGAGCACCCCCACAACGCCCAAATTTTGGTACCTAAACGATTATATGTTGTTTAAATATTGAGAATTACAAACTTCAAAAATATATTTAAATTATGATCCTTCTATTTATTCAAATTTATTTAAATAAGTGTCAAATTAAAAAAAACAACTTAAAATAAGAGATGCAATGGGTCAAAAAGATTAAAGAGCCCAAAAGATATTTTTATAGAATAAAAAAATATATATTATAATTATTCTTATAAGTGAAAATGCGTCATTTTGTACGAACAATCCTTGAAAATGCACTTCCTTTATAGTTAGGAGACATTTTCATAGATTCCTCTCACAAAAGACGTTATTTCATAATTTTTCACAGAGATAAAATAAAATAAAATAAAACAAAAGTGAAAAGAGTTGAAAATAATCAAAATAAATAAATGTGGAACAAAGAGAATTATCGAATACAAAAACAAACATTTATGCGAAAAATCCTCGAAAAGACACATTCTCTTGTAGTCGAGAGATGTCTTCGTAGATTTCTCTCACAATAAAATTTCCCATTTACATATTTAGAAAACAAAATGAAATATAAAAAAAATAAGGTCGAAGCAATAATATCAATGTGCACATAAATAAGGGATCAACCTACAAAATTTCTAAACCAACCATCCATATTAAAATATCATACAAGTAAGAGGGTAAATAAATAAAACTGAAACATAAATATTAAAAATTATAGGCACGAAACATAAATATACCATTAGCAAGCTTATGGACTAAAATAAAATAACAGAAAATAAAGTGCCAAAATCATAAATAAATAAAACAGGAAATATGACATATCAGTGACTAAATTGAATGTAATAAAACTAAAGTGCTAAAAATAAAATAAATAAAAATGTAGGGACTCAGAGACTAAAATGTAAAATATGGCAAGGTATAAGGGAATTGGAAGAAAATAAACCAAAAAAGTTAGTGTTGAGGAAGTAAAAAAGGAAAATCATTAAATTAGTCCCTAAGTATTAAAAATAATTTAAACAATCACCACACATGACCAAATGCAAACACGCTTAAAAGTACAGGGACTAAAAAATTAAACCAAAAATATAACATGCATCAGAAATAGGTAACTACAAAAGCAGTCCCTTCATTGCCCATTTTACAAAATACACCTAACATAGGGGGACCTAAGTGTATTTCCTCTAAAGTTTTCTATATATATATAAAAATTCTCTTTTTTTCCCATTTTTTCATTTAAAATAGGTTACCACCCGCCGTCCGCCGTGTCTTCTGTCGTTGGCTGCCTCCCCGTCTTGGATCCAGGGTCTGTTTTGCGAGAAGAGGTGTCATTTGTCGCAAAATAGTCGAAGATCGTTCGACATGCCTCTCTTTGATCTACCGTTGTCCGCCGTTAGATCGCCTCCATTTTCAGATATCTTTTTCTATGTCGTATTCTCTTTTTTATCAACGATTGGATTTACAAACTGAGCCCTCCAACGCTGTGAGCGTCACCGGTTGTATGGGTAAGAAATGGGTAAGAATCTCTTCTCTCATTTTTTCTTTGTTTCGAAATAGAAAAAAAATTGTTTGAACTTTTGTTTTTTTTATTGCTAATAAAATTGGTACATTGTTCTTGTTTTTCGCAGGTTTATACCCTTACATAAAAATATTGTTGATTGTTGATTTGGTGGTGCCGTGATTTGAGGGAGCTGGTGACCTTACTGCTGCTGTCGGGTATGGCGTTGTCAACAATTGGTGTGGAGGCATGGGGCTACATTGGAGCAGGGTATGGGTGGTGGCAGGAGCTAAACGGGTCAGTCAACCGGATCAAATCTCGGGTCAGGTTTGATATTTGATCCAGTTGGGTCCTCGGGTTGGCTTGATTTGTAATTTGGGCTCAAGGTGAGGGTCTGCCAGATGTAAATCAACTGTTAATAATAAAATAATAAATAATAGAAATAATAATAAATAATAATAATAATATTTTTTTCGACCTGAACAAAAATGGATGTCTAAGTTGCCCCTCTTTGCACATTCTTGTGTTAACAAGAATAAGGCAAAGATGAAAAAGACAACTAGTTTTTTTCAATTCTCTATTTTTGCTTTGAAATTTGATATGTTTGTTGTTGGGGATGACACTGCTCATAAGTGATGAACAATTATGGTCATCTAAGGGTGACACGACTCCTACGTGATGAGGAGATATGGTCGATGGATGACATGGTTCCTATACGATGAGGACGACTGGCCATCTTTAGGGAGTGTGATAACACATTTCCTACGCGATGAGGACGACTGGTTATCTAGAGGTGGCAAGGCTCCTACATGATGAGGAAGTCTGGTCGGTAGATGACACGGTTCCTATGTGATAAGGATGGCAGGCCATCTTTAGGGATGATAACACGGTTCCTATGTGATGAGGACAACTGGTTATCTAGGGGGTGACATGACTCCTACGTGATGAGGAGGTCTGGTCGTGGGATGACACAATTCATACGTTATGAGGACGGTTGGCCATCTTTAAGGATAATAGTTTCAAGGGAAACCGTCTCAAGAGAGACAAAATTTGTTTCAAAGGAAACAGATTCAAAGATTTATGTTTCAAGAGAAATTGTTTCAATGAAAATGATCTCAAAGATGGTTTTGTTTCAAGAGAAATTGTCTCAAGAGAGATAAAATTTTGTTTTAAGAGAAAAAAACTCAAAGATTTGTGTTTTAAGGGAAACAATTTCAAAATTTGTATTTCAAGGGGAAATGTCTCAAGTGAGACAAAACTTGTTTAAGAGAGACAAAACTTTGTTTCAAGGGAAACATACTCAAAGATTATGTCTTAAGGAAGGTTGTCTCAAGCGAGACAATGTTTGTTTTTAGAAAAAAACAATCTTAAATGAGATTAATTTTGTTTCAAGTGAAACAATTTAAAACAAATTTCGAAGGAAGCTGTCTCAAGAGAGACGAAGTTTGTTTTGAAAGAAACAATCTCAGGTGAGATCAATTTGTTTCAAAAATTTCAAAATTTGCAGAAAATCATCTCAAGTAAGATGAAATTTATTTTGAGAAAAATTGTCTCAAGCGAGACAAAATTTGTTTTTAGAGAAAACTGTCTCAAGCGAGACAAAATTGATTTTTAAGAAAAATTATCTCTAGCGAGACGACACTTTTTTTCGATAGAAACAATCTCAAAGGCGACAAACATTCTGTTTGTTCTTGTATGTTGAGAAAATACCTTCAGAAGATCTGATCATTCACTTCAGGATGTTGAATCTCTAAAGATACCCCTAACATTCATCATTTATTGCTTCATCATTGATTCTAAGCACGAGCTTTGTGTCTAAGAGCCGTATGTCAACTACCAAGATCCACTCCAGAGAGATTGTCTTGTTTGAAAAACGTTTTTCTTCTTCTTTTATTTTCAAGAGTCTGAAAATATCAATTAAAATGATGTTGAAAAATGTTTAATCAAAAGTTTTAAAATATTGTCCCTTTCTAAGTTTCACAATTGAGACAATTCATAAAACAAGAGATCATTGGATATCAAAGAATTAATTACACTTTTAATCCTTCAATGAATTATAGCTATTTGACAAGTGTCAAGATATTGCTATCTTTGAGTTATGGTTAAGTAAGGAGAGGATAAAAATGTTTCAGGTTATTGTTTTTGGTCAAAGGTATGACATTCTCGTTTCTTTGATGTTCACTGATATAATGGAATAGCTTGTATGCTCATCTACTAGAAGTGTTCTCTGACTCCCAGTTCTCATGATCACACTCGGTTTGTGCGATGCCTTATCAAGAAATTTGTGTGATCACCTCCTATGCAATAGTTGTACAGTCTTCATATTCGAGCCGCCTTTTCAGGTTTTCAACTCCAATCCTCCTTTGGTTTCAGGACGTTATCCAAAATTTACATCTTAAACCCCCTTTGTTTTTTTCTCTATCATGCATTAAAGATTTTAGAAAACTTTTGTAAATAAAAGATTAATCCTGATATGCGGGATGAAATATGAAGATAGTCTATTCTATTTAAAAATCCATGTATGATTATAAGTGACTTTTTAGGCACGTAATGTAGGTTATGGTTCACGGTTATGAAAGAAAGGGATAAAAGGATCAAACAAGTGTTTAAGGGTTATTGAACCAAGGATCAATTCATGTTGTCTTCAATCTTGTCTTGCTCGTATGTGTCCTTTTATCTTCTCTTAATGTTCTATGATCTTCTAGTGAAGTGATTCTGGAATGATTGTGCTTGTTCAATCTCATGGTTTGAAGCTAGAAGCGTTATTTGACTCGAGGGACTCTTTGCATGTGCTTTTATTGTCTTCTTTTATTTCTTTTATTTTGTTCTTTTGTTCTTTGATTTTTTTTCTTTTTTTTCCTTTTCTCTTTTTCTTTACTTTTATCCCCTCCCCCTCCTTGATTTGATCTTCAACTTTGTATTTGATTCACCTTTCGATATCTTATATGGATTAATAGTCTTCACTCATGCGAGCAGATTTTCTTTGTCTTGCCCTTAGTGTGGGGGGTGATCCTTGGTTAGGGTTGAATCAGAAGAAAAATATAATTTAGGCTCAAATGGGAACAGAAGGGATATATATTTTCTCCTTTTGTGAAGGGATAATGAAAGAAAGTTGTTAATTATTTCATACACAAAAGTCATTGCAGAATAGGTATCCCAGGG